GGCTATGAGGTTTAGTTTTCAGTTTAAACGTATTACGTGAACAGATAAAAAATAACTGGCCATTCCTATACAGAGTTGCTATGAGTTGGAACTGACTGAAAGGCAATTGGTTTGGTTTTTGGCATTGAGAGCAGAGGGGTAGTGAATGGGAGGGGGGCCTGGGAGGACCTTCTGAAGCAGTCCTGCATTTCCAGAGGGGAGCAGTGATAGGGGATGAATGGAACTCATATGCAAGTATGTATGTATGTATGTATGTAAAAGGGCTCTGCTGGCACAGTGGGGAAAATATTCAGGCTGCTAACCAGAAGGTCAGTGGTTCAAATCTACCAGTGTGTGGAAGGAAGATGAGGCAATCTACTTCCATAAAGATTTATAGTCTTGGAAACCCAATGGAGGTCATTATGGGTCAAAACCGACTTGATGGCAGTGGGTTTTGTTCTTATGGAGTATGTATTGTTGTTGTTAGGGTTCGCAGAATGTTCTCTGACTCACAGCGACCCGATGTACAACAGAGTGAAACACTGCCTGGGTCCCGTGCCAGCCTCATGACCCTTGCTATACCTGAGCCCATCGTTGCAGCCACTGTGTCAATCCATCTCATTGAGGGCCTTCCCCTTTTTCACTGACCCTCTACTTTACCAAGCGTGATATCCTTTTTCCAGCAAATGGTCTCTTCTGACAACACGACCAAAGTAGGTGAGACAAAGTCTGGTCATTCTCGCTTCCAAGGAGCATTCCAGCTGCACGTCTTCCAGGATAGATTTGTTTGTTCTTTTAGTCCATGGTATTTTCAGTATTCTTCGTCAACACTACAACTCAAAAGCATCCACTCTTCTCCAGTCTTCTTTATTCATTGTCTAGCTCTCACATGCACAGGAGGTGACTGAAAATACCATGGCTTGGATTAGGTGCACCTTAGTCTTCAAGGAGACATCTTTGCTCTTCACCACTTGAAAGAGGTTTTTTGCAGCAGATATGCCCAATGCAATACTGCTGCATCTGTTGGTGTTGACTGTAGAATCAAGTAATATGAAGTCTTTGACAATTTCAAACTTTTCTCCATTTACCATGACGCTGCTTATTGGTCCAGTTGTTAGGATTTTCGTTTTCTTTATATGGAGGTGTAATCCATACTGCAGACTGTAGTCTTTAATCTTCATCAGTAAGTGCTTCAAGTCATCCTCACTTTCAGCAAGCAAAGTTGTATATCGTCTGCATATCGCAGATTGTTAATGAGACCTCCTACATCTCTGATGCCATGTTCTTCTTTGTATCATCCAGCTTCTCAGATTATTTGCTCAGCATACAGATTGAATAAGTATGGTGAAAGGACACAACCCTATGCACTCCCATCCTGATTTTAAACCATTCAGAATCTCCCTGCTCTGTTCGAAGGATGGCCTCCTGATCTATGTACAGGTTGCTCATGAGTACAATGAAATGTTCTAGAATTCCCATTCTTCTCAATTTATCTACAGTTTGTTATGATCCACACAATCAAATGTTTTTGCATAGTCCATAACACACAAGTAAACATCTCTCTGGTATTCTTTGCTTTCAGCTAAGATCCATCTGATATCAGCAATGATATCCCTTGTTCCACATCCTGTTCTGAATCCAGCTTGCATTTCCGGAAGTTCTCTGTCAATATACTGCAGCAACCATTTTTGAATTGTCTTCAGTAAGATTTTACTTATGTGTGGTATTAATCAATAATTTCCACACTCTGTGGGATCACTTTTCTTTGGAATGAGTACAAATATGGACCTCTTCCAGTCAGTTGGCCTGGTAGCTGTCTTTCAAATCTCTTGGCATAGGCAAGTGAGTGCCTCCAGCAGGGCATCTGTTTGTTGAAACATCTTAATGTGTATTCCGTCAACACCTGCAGCCTTGTTCTTCACCAATTCCTTCAGTGCAGCTTTGATTTCTTCTTTCAATACCATTGATTCTTGATCATATGCCACCTCCTGAAATGGATAAACATTGACCAGTTCTTTTTGGTACAGTGACTCTGTGTATTCCTTCCATCTTCTTTTGATGTTTCTTGCATCATTTAATATTTTGCCCATAGAATCTTTCAATAGTCAAACTCAAGGCTTGAATTTTTTCCACAGTTCTTCTGGTTTGAGAAATGCTGAGTGTGTTCTTCCCTTTTGGTTTTCTAACTCCAGATCTTTGCACATTTCATTGTAATAACTGACTGTGTCTTCTTGAGCTGCTCTTTGAAATCTTCTGTTCAACTCTTTTGTCATTTTTTTCCAGTTGCTTTAGCTATTCTCCATTCAAGGGTAAGTTTCAGAATCTCTTCTGACATCCATTTTGGTCTTGTCTTCCTTTCCTGTCTTTTTAATGACCTTCTGCTTTCTTCATGTATGATGTTCTTGATGTCATCACACAATTCCTTTTGTTTTTGGGCACTGGTGTTCAATGCATCAAATCTATTCTTTAGAGGGTCTCTAAATTCAGGAGGGATATATTCAAGCTCATATTTTGGCTCTCATGGATTTGTTTCAATTGTCTTCAGCTTCAACTTGAACTTGCATATGAGCAGTTGATGGTCTATTCCACAATCAGCTCCTGGTCTTGTTTTGGCTGAAGATACTGAGCTTCTCCATCATCTCTTGCCACAAATGTAATCATTCTCATTCCTATGCACTCTATCTGGCAAAGACCAAGTGTATAGCTGCCATTTGTGTTGCTGAAAAAAGGTATTTACAATGAGTAACTCGTGGGTCTTGCAAAATTCTATCATGCCATCTCCAGTGTCATTTCTATCACCAAGGCCATATCTTCCAACTATGGTGATTTTTCCTTGCTTCCAACTTTTACATTCCAGTTATCAGTGATAATTAACACATCCTGACTGGTCAATTTCAGACTGCAGAAGTTGGTGAAAATCTTCAACTTCCTCATCTTTGGCTTTGGTGGTTGGTGTGTAAATTTGAATAGTAGTAGTATTAACTGGTCTTCTTTGTAGGCATATGGATATGATCCTGTCACTGATTGCATTGTACTTCAGGATAGATCCTGAAACATTCTTTGTAAGGATGAATGCCACGCCATTCCTCTTCCAATTTTTCATTCCTGGCATAGTAGATCATAGCGCTGTCTGATTCAAAATGGCTACAACCAGTCCATTTCAGCTCACTAATGCCTAGGACATAGATCTTTATGTGTTCGTTTCTGACAACTTTCCTTTTTCCTAGATTCATACTTCATATATTCCATGTTCTGATTATTAATGGATGCTTACAGCTGTTTCTTCTCATTTTGAGTCGTGCCACATCAGCAAATGGAGGTCCCGAAAGTTTTATTCTTTCTATATCATTAAGGTCAGATCTACTCTGAGGAGGCAGCTCATCTTCCAGCACTCTATCAGACAATGCTTCACTGCTAGTCATAAGGCTTTCACTGGCCAATTCTTTGAGAAGTGGATGGCCTCCTCCTTCTTCTGAGTCTGCCTTATTCTGGAAGCTCTGCTGAAATCCATCTACCAGGGGTGACCCTGCTGGCATTTGAAACACCGGTGGCATAGCCTCCAGCCTCACAGCAACATGCAAGCCACCACAGTATGACAAACTGACCAATAAGTTCATCTCCCTTAGCTGTTCCAAACTGCTCCGCTCACTTCTTGGTCTCCCTTAGCTGTTCCAAACCCTGCCAGCTCACTACCTGGTTTCCCTTAGCTGTTCCAAACTGTCGCTGGCTAGCTTCCTGGTATCTCTTAGCTGTATTACTTTGCTAAAAGCAACACGTACATCACTATTTCTGGAATTTTTAACATCAATTCAAAGATGAAGTAAAGAATAATTAAAAAACAAAACATCAAAAATAAAAACGGCTCATACCTAAAGATGCAAAAAAAAAAAAAAAAAAAGCTACCAATTTAAAACAAAACTAGGAAGGTTTGAATGACTAGAAAATATTTTATCAACTTAAGTATGCTGTATGTAATTTTGGTCATAAAATCACATGAGCTATGAAGTCCTGAGATAAAGTTTTAAAGAATAAGTCCCAAGCCCCTTAGTTCATCATGAAATGAAAAATAATTGTTAACTTTTCTATAACTTTTTTAGTAGTCTATAATTAATAAAACTGAACAAAAGGTTAACTGAATATAAAAATTAATAAGCACATTTGCTATGCATGTATATATATGTAAGGAGTTCTGGTTGCATAGTGTTTAAAGTATTCAGTTGTTAACCAAAAGGCTGGCAGCCACTCCAAGGGAGAAAGATGAGGCAGTCTGCTTCCATAAAGACTTACAGTCTTGGAATCCCTATGGGGCAGAGCCAACTGTCTTAGAGGGTTTCTATGAATCAGAATTGAGTTGACAGCAGTAGGTTTGGTTTTGGTGTGTGTGTGTATATATATGTATGTATGTTGTTGTTGTTATGTGCTGTCCAGTCGCACCCGCCTCATAGAGACCCCTCCTTGGGTTTCCGAGGCAGTATCACTACGGAAGTAGATTGCCCCGTCTTCCTTCCGAGGAGTGGCTGGTGGGTCTGAACCACCAGCCTTCTGGTTAGCAGTCAGCTGCCTTAGGCACTACGCTACCAGAGCTCCTATATATATGTATATGTATGTATATATATATATACACACATACTTATATTTATACACATACACACATACCAGTTTAAAGGTTAATTTTAAAAACAGAAACAATGGGCCAGTACCCGACAAAGCTCTAAACCAAATTCACTACTGTTGAGTCGAATCTGACTCATAATGACCCCTCCTTGAGTTTCCGAGGTGGTATCTCTATGGAAGTAGATTGCCTACTCTTCCTTCTAAGGAGTGGCTGGTGGGTTTGAACCACCAGCCTTCTGGTTAGCAGTCAAATGCCTTAGGCAATACACCATCTTCTGTTAATTACTTAGAAACAAAACAGGTTTTTGAAACTGTGGAAAAAGAACATACATGTATGTATGTAAATACAAACACCTGCAGAGGGCTAATTGATCATTTCATCCAGGACTAGGCTGACAGCAACCTACCTGTCGTTTGATTGAAACCAACTCCATATCGAGTTGTCTCAGCACCGTGGTTGCAGCAGTGGCATTGGCAGAAACAGCCTCCACATCTTCTTGAGAAAGAAACATGCCTTTGGGCGGTTTCCTTTTTGCTCTATTTTTAGCTTGTGTACTATGTTTTTCCTTTTTGACCTGAGGAACTATTTCAGTTGGGGGTACCTGTACGATACACATACTGGTTAATGAGACTCTAAAAGAGATAACTCATGTCAAATGAACAGTCATAAGCATATTTCCTTAACATGATTCCTAACAATTTAAGACAAACACCATACCATTATTATCACCTATAAATTATACCAAGCAGTTAACAGGCAAAACATCGGCTACTGAACTCTGACTAAACACTTCAAAGTGAATTCTATTTCCTTCTTGCATAAATACACACTTACTCTATCACTTTAAGCTTCTTACAGTAAGAATTCTTTCAGGGCACAGTATAAGCATTCTTGGCTTTCCACAGTCATACAGGAAGGAAAAACCAAACCAGTATTTCCCTCTGGAAAGGCCTGTGGCCCTGTAACCCTGTAAGGCTTTCATTGTTTTTAAAATAGGGATCTATTTTATCCTAACCGCCCCTAGCAGTATAGATGGACATATGGATGGCAACTAACAACAACAAACATGGCTACAGAAGGAAAAACAGGTTTTGGGCACATGTAAAAAGATCCATAGTAATTCTTTAAGTCTTCCTTCCCATTAAGAAATAGAAACTATGACTTTTCATACACCTTTTTAATGGACACCACTCAACTGTTAGAGCAACTTCCACAACTTGCTTCAAAAAAGTACACGAAGTCAATTTAAAACAGGTAACTGCTGCTAATTTTCTTTTTAAAAAGTGTTTTGTGTTTTCGCTAAAAGCAAATTTTCAGAAATAAAATCCTGGCAAGGAAAGACTGGTAATCACTTCAAGAACAAGACATTTCTTCATAATCACCTTGTTAGCTTACCAGCACTTGCTGATTGATATAGCTAAAATTACACTCAGGCTCTTTGTCTCACATTTTAAAATAATGAGATAAAAACACAGTAGTAACTGATCTCTTAAACCAGTGGTAATAAACAAAGTACAAAAATATTAGTAGGTAATAAATGAGTTCTGTATAGTGCTATGTGGTTTGAACTATGTCTGTTTTAATAACCAAGTCTTTCCTCCTTCATCTAAAATCAATGTCCTAACATTTACAAGGAGGAAATTCAGGATGAGAGAGAGAGACAGAGAGACAGACAGAGGGAGGGAGGAAGAGATGGATGGATGGATGGATGGTTGTATTGAAGAACCTAATAAATGACAGTGCATCAAAAAAGCTTACTGAAAACGGCAAGTACGATTTGATTTCACTCTACCCGTGCTAACCTTTACACGATCTTATTATCTGGGCACCCCAAAGAACACATCAAGATCTATCCTGAAGTACACTGAGGTCAGTAAGGAAGACCAGTTAATACCACTATTAATATGCAATCAAGATGCACTGTTAATTACTGGTGATTGGAGACAAAGAAAGTTCAATAGATGGAAAATATAGCCTCAGTGATAAAAACGATGCCAGAGAATGCATGACAGAATTCTGTAAGACCAACAACTTAGCCACTGGAAGTATCTTTTTTTCAACAATACAATAAAGAACTATACATATGATATCATCAGATAGATTACACAGGAAAGGGGAACTGAGAAAGCCAAAGCCAGGGGCTCATATACATGTTCAAGTTGAAGCTGAAGAAAAAACAAGTGCAAGAGAGCCAAAGTACGACCCTGAATGCATCCTGCCTAAAATTAGAGACGATTTTAAGCACAGATTTGACACAATGAACACTAATGATTGATGACCAGAAGAGTTGTAGGAAGACACCAAGATATTAAACATGAAGAAAGTGAAAGATCATTAAAGAGAGGAAAGGACTAAAATATCAAAAAAGGTATCAAAAAAGACTCTGAAATTTGCTCTTAAGTACAGAGTAGCTAAAGCAAATGGAAGAAATAATGAAAGAAAAGAGCTGAATAGATTTCAAAAAGCAGCTCAAAAGACAAGGTAAAAGAGTATGAACAGTATGATGAAATGTGCAAAACCTCGTAGTTAGAATACCAAAAGGGAAAAATACTAATGGTATTTCTCAAGCTAAAAGAACCAGAGAAAATTCCAGTTTCCAGCTGCATTATGGAAGGATTCTGTTGGCAAAAAATTAAATGGTGATCAAAAGAAGATGGAAGGAATACACAGAGACACTGTACCAAAACAGATTGGTCAATGTTTACCCATCTCAGGAGGCAGCATATGACCAAGAACCACTGGTACTGAAGGATGTTCAAGCTGTAATAATGCATGGGTGAAAAACAAGGCTCCAGGAACTGATGGACTATCACCTGAGATGATTCAAGAAATGGATGCATACTGACAGCGCTCACTTGCCTATATCAAGAAATCTGGAAGACAGCTACCTGGCCAACTGACTGGAAGAGAGCCGTATCTGTTTCCATTCCAATGAAAGGTGATGAAATGGAATGCAGAAATTATCAAATACCAAATGCATGCAAAATTTTGTTGAAGATGAATTAAAAAACAAGTGCAGCCATAAAGTGCATCAGTGGAAAACTCCTAGAAGTTCACACAGACTCAGAAGAGGATGTGGAATGAGGGCTATCACTCTTTGTACCAGGTGATACAAATCTGAGTCAAAACCAGAGGATACTGGAAAGATACTCACTTGTATCTTATCAACTATGTGAAGGCATCCGACTGTGTGGCTCATAGAATTACAGACAGAATTATAAATGCTTCATTATATTCACATGGAATCTCTTCATGGATCAAGAGGCAGTCATGCTAACAAAACAAGGGAACATTGTGGGATTCAAAACTGCAAAAGGTACGTAACTTTTACCTTATTTACTCAATCTATATGCTGAACAAATAATCTGAGAAGCTGGACTGCAGGAACACTCATTAACAACCTGCAATATGCAGGAAATGAAGATGACTTGAAGCACTTACTGATGAAGGTCAAAGACTACATACAGCCTTTGGTATGGATTATACCTGAATGTGAAGAAAATGAAAATCCTCACAACTGGACCAATAAACATGGTAAACAGAGAAAAACCTGAAGTTGTCAAGGATTTCATTTTACTTGGATCAACAATCAACATCCATGGAAGCAGCCACCAAGAAATCAGACGACATACTGGGAAAATCTGCTGCAAAAGTGTTAAAAAGCAAAGATGTCACTTTGATGACTAAGGTACACCTAGCCCAAATCATGGTCTCTCTTCAAATGCCTCATATGCATGCAAAACATGGACAATCAAAAAAGTAGAAAAACTGATGCATTCAAACTGTGGTGTTGGCAAAGAATACCGAATATACCATGGACTGCCAGAAGAATGAGCAAACCAGCCTTAGAAGAAACAGAATCAAAATGCTTCGGAGAAGCAAGGAAGACGAGACTGTGGCTTGCTAACTTTGGACACATCATCAGGAAAGACCAAAAAAAAAAAGAACAACATGTTTGATCAAGTCAGGGGTCAGCAAAAACAAGGGCAGCCAATTTTAAGACAGACTGATAATAGCCGCAATGGGCTCACACTGATGACCCAAAAACAAGAATCGGAAAGATGGCACAGGACCGGGTCCTCTAAGTCCTGGGTCCTCACGCTGACTCAACAGTAACTAACAACAACATAAACCCCTGGCAAGAGCGTCACTCAAAAAGTGTTGCAGTCTCCATTTTGGTGAGACATACCAAAAGAGCTTTTACATGTGTGTGTGTATGTGTGTACATATATAGAACACTTTGACCCAACTGCTCAACTTCCAAAAGTTAATTCTAAAGGAAAAGATTAAGTGTACAGATATTTAGTTATGGGCTCATCATTTCAGCATTGTTTACACCAGCAAAAAGCAGGGGGAAAAAACACAGGAATCCATATAACTGCCCTCCAAAAACAAAGCAACTCACAGCAACCTCTCCTTGGGTTTCCAAGGCGGAATCTCTACAGAAGTAGACTGCCCAATCTTCCTTCCTAGGAGTGGCTGGTGGGTTTGAACAGCCAGCCTTCTGGTTAGCAGTCAAATGCCTTAGGTACTATGCCACCAGAACTCCCAGAAATTCATATAAGATTAATTAATTTAATAATAGTAAATGTGTTTGATGGAATCATATGTAGCTATGTATAAAAATATGTTCAAAGTAGAATAAACTTAAAAGGTTACAAAATAAGATATAGTAAGATCCCATTTCTATGGAGTCAGAATGATATATGTATGTATGTATGTTTTAGAGAGCAAACAGTGTGGAAAGATGCCAACATAACAGTCATTTCAGGTGACAATATTACTAGTAATTTAAAAATTTTTCTTTTTGTTTAGGTGGATTTCTTACTTTGCGTATAAAAAGTATGTATTACTGATGTAATTTTAAAGTTTAAATATGTTGAGTTTTTTTTTTTTTTTTTTTTAAAGGTCTAGAATGGCTGTTATTCTACTTTGGGGAACAGAGAACCCTGTGAGAATTTTACTGAAACCATAGGCTGTGTTCAGAAAAATACTTATGTGAACATGTAAAAGTCATATACAACTGGACAAATCATTGAATCCTTTGAATCTGGTGATTAAACATTTCTACGTAGCCTGAGTAACAGAGGAAGGAGAGATAGGGAGAGGAGGAAGAAATGGAATGTATGGATAATTGTTTCCATGAATAACTGCCTCCTTTGCCACAAGACGAGAAGTGGATGGTATCTGGCTACCATTACTGAGCACTTTGATCAAAGATTCCATAGGAGAATTCTGATCTAACGGGGAAAAGATGCGGAACAGAATTTAAAATTTTCATAGAATCCAAACTTTCTGGGGCCATGGAAACTAGATCAATCTTTAAATCTTAAACCAAAAGTATCTCCTAAAGTCTCCTTAAAAGTAAACAACAGTTTAGAGCTTTAACTAGTAAAAAAGTCTGCCTTGAGCATTATGCTGTTTTAAGAGCTATCTACATGGGATTAAGCTGACAACAGCAACTTGAAAGATTAGATCAGAAAACTTAGGTGGCAGTGACTGTATGTTCATTGGGGAGGAACAACCCAGTAAAGGAGGGTGAGAATATTTGTACAACTTCAAGACTATAGTCAGTGTCACTGAATCGTATACATAGAAACTGTTGAATTATTTTATGTTTTGCTGTGTATATTCTCAACAAAAAAATGAATAAAATAAAAAATAAAAAATCTCTGTTTGATGATTATTTTTTAAGATATGACAGATTACCAATTCATTGCATGTGAGGTGATGGTCCTGGATGTCCTCCTATAACCTTGACTGGTGTTTCTGAGTAATGAGAAGCCTGTACAAAACCTGCCAACCCCTGTACCCAGAGCGGACAGACCCCAGTGGGTCCAGAAAGGAGTCAAGCTGGTCCTCCTTGGGGATACCTGGAGCCTGGTGTCACTGGCACTACTTTGTAACCTACTGAGCCAATAGCTTAGCAAAGAAACAGGGAGCACTGCCACCTACCCATGTAAAATCTTCACTCACTGTCACTACTACTGATTCCCTTTAAGGCTTAGGTTACTAAGCTCTCCTGGCAAACTAAATCTTAAGTTCTAAAAAGCAAAATCTGTTCAGCTGCCGTTGAGTTGTGTCAGAGTAGAACTTTTCGTCATAGGTTTTCAATGGTTGATACTTTGGGAGTAGATTGTCAGGGTCTTCCGAGCTACCCCTGGGTGGACTTGAACTCCAATCTACACAGTGTGAACCGTGGGCACCACCCAAGGACTGCAAAGCCAAATTGGTATTGTTGAAACAGTCCTATCACAGTATCTTGTACACAGCACTTACAAGTAGACCAAATAAGAGCAAGGTTTTACTTATGGAACTGTTAATAACATGTATTCATCTAAATACAGAAAAAAATACCTCCTTTTTGCTCTCCTTGTTTTGATCAACCTCAATGTCAATGGGGTTATTTCCATTTGCTTCTTCCAGCTCATCCTCACTGGAAGACAAGAACAAGTTACTGAAAGATTATTTTGTACTAATTCTATTTAACATTAACAGCAGATGCAAGATAAAATCTGTACAGGTCTCCCCTGCTTTTAGAAAGTTCGCTTTATGCCGCTTGGGTTTTACAAAAGACCTACAATAGAACTTGTTTTCACCAGCTGAAAGAAATCCGAAGAGGACTTTCACTTTTTAAAAAAAGGTGAAGAGCAAAAGTAGCATTCAGTTTTTGTCTTGTAGCGAGTCATTAAAGAGGTAGCACACACCCTGAGCGGCAAGAGTGGCAGTGCCAGTCTCCTTCCCCGGGAAGTTTACTCAGCATCTCAGTGTGTAAGTTTCATGTGTTATTTGGTATGATGTGGTGGGTTATTTTTTCGGATGTGGGTGCTCCAAAGGTTTTCCCATATAAATTCACGTTAACTGCTTCTTTGCTTTATGACATTTTGGCTTACGAAAGGTCTCACAGGAACATTCTACTTTCAGATAGCAGGGGAAACCTGTATGCTTTCAGACTGCTGAAATAAAAGCATTTTTACAATTCAAATTAAATAATACTAACTCCACAGTTCTTTTAGTCCAAATGATGGAAAAATATTAACATAGGCCTTTAACTACCCCAATCAGATCTCAAATACCACTGTCTTATGTTTCTCATGTGTTTTCCATACCAAAGGAAAGAACTCTCAACTGAAAACTCTCAAACATAAAAGACATTTACTTTATTTACTCATAATTATCTACTGGAAAACTAGGACAGATCATTAAATGTAACAGGAGAAATTACTTAACATCCCAATGCACTGGAAACAAACTTGACAAAAGTAAAAATCTGTTTTTCAAGTTCCATTTGTCTTTTTAGGACCACACATACGTATCTTCAAATGAGAACTATTTTTGGTGGCCTGTAAATACTTTTAAAAAAACTTTTATTGTGATTTGGGTGAAAGTTTACACAGCAAATTCATTTTCCGCACAGCAGTTCATACATACTGTGTTTCATGACATTGACTGCAATTCCCCACAATATAACAGCTCTCTTCCTACTTCTTCCCTGGAGTTAACCCCTCCCTGTGTCCCTCTTTCCTATACATTACTGCCCCCTGAGCTATTTCCCTGTGCAAATACTGCCCTCTTCTGTTCTCTCATGATTGATCATTCTAAGGACTGTATCTACCTGATGTAAATGTTCACTCTATATGCCTGTCTATTGCTTGGCTGGAAGCCATGGGAGTGAGTTCAGTTCCAGACCTGAAGGGTAATGAGGATCCATAGTCTTGGGGAGGTCTCACCAGGCTCTGTTGTTGTTGTTGTTAAGTGCCGTCGAGTCGTTTCCGACTCATAGCGACCCCATGCACAGCAGAACGAAACACTGCCCGA